GGGGCTTTGGGCTCAGTCTGGGAGGAGCGGTGGCGGGGTGCTGGGCCGGTCTGCTCCCCGCTGCCGCCAGTCGCTTCACAGCCACCGTGGAGAGCGCTAGCACCGTCTCGCCCAGCCGACGCTACAACTCTCCACACCACACCACCAACAACCTCCACTCCTCAACACACATCATCACCCAGGAATGGATGAACTGTCAGTATTATCCCGGCTTAACGAATCAGGCTCAAGAAGTTCTACAGCCCAGCTACAACTCATCGTGTAGAAAGACAGAGAAACACGTGTTTGTGAAGAGAAAAATAATACAATTTAGTGCTTTAACTACAAGAAAATAGAGAAAATAAAGAAAGAGAGAGAGTGATATTAACTCACAAGTGCTTCCTACCATAAGTGTGTAAAGCCGTGAGAAAATATAGATAAAATATTTTGGTCACTTCTCTTCAGTGTAGCAAGTTGACCTCCCCTTCCCCCCTCTCAGCCTTACTCATCTGCTGGACTATAACACATACAACAAGGTTAGTATAACAGTGTATACATGAGAAGGTATACATAGTTAATCAGTATACATGTATGACTATAAACATGGTCAAACTATACATGGAATTCTTGTATACATTAAGACTTAATTTAGCATACATTCATACACCAATATCTTGTATACTGTATGTTATGTATAACTGAGTGTATGATTGATATACATAATGATTATTTTTATCTTTATGCTCTCTCTCTCTCTCTCTCTCTCTCTCTCTCTCTCTCTCTCTCTCTCTCAACTACGAAATTATGTTAGTTTGAATTCACCATGAACTTTTAAATTAACAGACAGACATATTAACAGATACGCTAACAGACAACAGACAGATAAACAAGTTAACAAACATAGACACGATAACAGACAGACAGACACGTTAACAGACAGACAGACACGTTAACAGACAGACAGACACGTTAACAGACAGACAGACACGTTAACAGACAGACAGAGACAATTTAATTGACATGCTGATCTGTCTATCATTCGACAAATCATCATCTCTTATCTTCGTCAATTATTACAGTTCTTATTTATCTCTTTATCCCTATTCTCTCTTGTCTCTCGTTTATCCATTTATATTATTTACCCTTTTTCCGTTACGTTTATCGTCATCATGAGTTGCTGTTCTCTCTTTATTAATATTCTCTTATTCTCTTACATGGGATAAGAATTGAAGTTTTTGAGAGTGAGAGAACGGGGGATAACGAAAGAGAAACGGGGGAGAGAGAACGAAGGAGAAAGAGGGGGAGAGATACAACAAAGGAGAGAGAGAGAAAATGATGGAGAGACAAAGAGACGTTAACTTGGTGTCTCTTGTACGTTTCCCAGAAACAATAGAGAGGAGGAGGAGGAAGAAGAGGGATGACGGTATTAATGAGGAAGAGGGAGAAGGAGGAGGAAGAGGGGGTGACGGTATTGAGGAGGAAGAAGAGGGGATGGCGGTATTAATGAGGAAGAGGGAGGAGGAGGAAGAAGAGGGGGTGACGGTATTGAGGAGGAAGAAGAGATGACGGCATAAAGGAGGTGGGTAGATAATAATGGGGAGGGAAAATGAGTGGAAGGGAGTAATGACAAGGACGGGAGGAGGAGGATGGGTGATGGAGAGGAAGAAGGATGGAGAGAAAAGAGTTTAGTTAAATGAAGAGATAGAGAGAGATCGATGGATAGATAGATGAATATAGATACCTCTCAATTACTCAACACTCATACGTATAACACTTTATAATCAAATAACCTTTTTATAATATATACCACATTTAAAACAATAATCAATAAAATATTAACTCGTAAGTCAATATTGCACGTGAGATGTAAAATATCCAGATGAAATTTTTTTTAAAGGAGATTTTAGATTAGCGTATGTCAACACAGCCGCCGCCATGACTTCTTTAAAATTATTCCATTTATAACGTATTTAACGGTAACATCCTCGTAATATCTTGTGTATTATTCCCTTCTTGTCTTTTATCTTTGAATCTTGGTTTATTTTTGGTATTATTTATCATTCTTAGGGGAATATTAATGTAGTGAGAGGGAGGGAGGGTGTGTGTGTGTGTGGTCGTGGTGGTGTGTGGCAACTGAGACACAGGGATTTTTTTTGGTATGGCTCATTCATGGAATCCACCAGCGAGGAGTGGGGTAATATTGTCACTGTGTTTCGTCTCAGTTTCACATTACCACACACACACACACACACACACAAATTACCCGTTTCACAGTAATGTTGTAACAAAGAAAAACAAATATTTTTTCATTTCATGGCTTTTCTTGTTATAGATAGTTATAGTGTTTGTTAATGCGTGTAGTGTATGTTTAGAAACTATTCACTATAACACTAATCATCGTTCTTTCAGTGAATGTATTAAGATAACATGTAGGTGGAATAGTGTAGTAATCTTTTATAGTGAATTCCTAATTTGATAAGATTACTTTAAACTAGTAAGAAAAATGATTGTCGACGACGTATTTAGAGTGAGACAGGTGTGCAGTGGCCGTTTAATATAACCATCTGTTTAGAAGGTTGATAAGGTAAGCTCGGGGTGTTCGTGGTACAACCGACCACTTCCCGCCAAATTTCCTGGAATCGCCACTGCCTTCACGGTGTTCGAATATTGTGTGTGTGTGTTGCGATACTGGCTAGCTCCAGGGGTGTGTCGGGGGTTGAGGGGTGTGTGGTGAGGTGTGTTGGGTCCAGGGGTGTGTCGAGGGTTGAGGGGTGAGAGGTGAGGTGTGTTGGGGGTGAGATGTGTGTTTTGGGATGAATGTGTGTGGGGTGAGGTGTGTGGGGAGGAGATGATGAAAAGCGTCACCACCATGCCAATTAGCGTTTTGGTGGAGGTAGCAGCGAGGTTGAACTAGTTTATCATTAACTCAGGGCCTCTCTCTCTCTCTCGGCTTCCAGGAACTAGACAGCAATATAGGCGTGGCTAAATTTAACCACATCTCCCTTCACCAACAATACACAAACACCAGCGGAGAATCTATTTTTTAACACAACACAAACACACAATACAAAAATAAGAATTTTATTTGTAGACTTAGTGACATCTAGACATCGTTAGCAATCTCTCTCTCGCCCACATATTCACTACCTTGCCAAGAACTAACATACATGTCCTTGTTAACTCCCTACTTTTCCTCTTGTCTAGTATAGCGGGATTTAGACGGGCTAAAACTGTATTCTCCGTCACACACCACCACCTGTTGCTGTCACTACCACCACCTCCCCCAAATCCACCCTCACTCTATATAATTACGTCAGTGTTGTTTATCTCAGGTAAATAGAGACGAAATATGGCCTTATCTAAACATTTTGGACCCTGGATCAGTTGCCAGGTGTTCCTAGTTAACGTGCTTTAATAATGAGAGGCAAGTGGTGACACCTAGCCGATATTTTTTGTTGTCACTATTGATAATTTTGATAAACCTTTGGGTATATTACGTCATAGAACTCATTAGGGAGTGTAAAATATATAGCAATTATGAATTTCCTCTGTGCATATTTTTCGTTATTGTCAACAGGAAAGATATCTTGTTATCGTATTATTTAAAATGTATTAATATTATCGATATAACTGTATAATAATTATAGCCCAGGTATATATATATGAAACGATAATACGTGTATGTTTAGTTGGATTGACCCAAATTATATAGATAAGGCGAAGAAAATAGTTATTGAGAGGAGTGTGTGTGTGTGTGTGTGCAAACGTGTGTGCAGTGAAAGTGGTGTTTGAGGCGGCGGAGCGAACTAACTTGACAACCGGCGGCGTCTGGCAACTCTGTCAGCTGATTCACGGAATGCGATGCTGACGGGAGGCGTCGGTGGCGGACGTACGATCAAAATCTACTATCGTTGACCTTTTAAATGTATATTTTAGTCGTTCTCTTCATTCTATTTCGTGATAGTGACCTTTATGTATCCAGGACAGTCATATTGATAGGTAAACACGAGGGAAATAATCGCTAGATGGAGAGATCGAGGAGTGAGGGGGTGCGGGACAACACTAACTTGTACCGGGAAAAAACTTTCTAAGGGTATTTCTTAGTAAACCATAAGAGGAGAGGCGTGAGTGATACGCTATATTGGGCGACGTGGAAACTGCCTCTCCCTCCCTCCACGCTTCCATCTCTCCCTCCCTCCACCCTTCCCTCCTTCCTCTACCATCTCTCCCTCCCTCCATGCTACCACCTCTCCCTCCCTCCACTCTACAATTCTCTCCCTCCCTTCCTCCACTCTACCCTCCCTCCGTCCCTCCCTGTGACGATCGATTGTGGGCTGTTAGTCGTAAAATACCCCAGTGAGGGTGTCGGAATAGGCCAGTCAGGGTTATATTTATAACAACACAGCTTTTCCAGAAGGCGAGGGGTTATGACATCCGGATTTAGGCGGCAAGTCGGATGTTTATTAGAAAAATGATGACGTCGATTACCTAGTCACCAACCCACACACAGGCACACTTTAACAGGAAGGCCATTAATGGATCAACAACCAGACGGTCACATGTACACAATCCTCAAAGTTTTTAACCTCCTTGAACACTTCTTACTATCGACACACACACACACACACACCTCTTATTTAAAACATAAAAGAGTATTGTTAGCCAGCATGCAGGTCACGGAATAAAGATATTTATGTCAGGGTTTCCAAGGCGGATTCATCATCAACGAATGAACGAACGTCAAGTGACACAACGGATATGTTTACCTCCGTCGTCAAACACCGTCATACACACGTCATACCTACGTCATAAACACATCACTTGGTATTTTTTCTCCGTAAGGGTTGAACATGGTTCGAGTCGTGACGTCATATATGTTTATAGATCCGTTGTCATGGAGATATATAAAAGATACAAATAAAGCGAGAGAACAAATAAAGAGAGAACTAAGGAAACGGCAAACAAATAAAGATCAACTACTCCCGTCCGTGACTTAAATCGGATTTCCCTCCCCCTCCAACTCCCTCCCTCACTCCCGGAGTGTTCCAGGAACTCCTCGGGCAGTCCCTCCTTCAGTAGGTCCCCGTCACTGCTGCAGGAGGTCCTTCAATGACTCGCTCCAGTGAGGAAGGAAACGTGGGGGTCGTTTAAGGCATAGATTATTGGGGTCACTTTAAGGCATATATTATTGGGGTCACTTTAAGGCATATATTATTGGGGTCACTTTAAGGCATAGATTATTGGGGTCACTTTAAGGCATAGATTATTGGGGTCACTTTAAGGCATAGATTATTGGGGTCACTTTAAGGCATAGATTATTGGGGTCACTTTAAGGCATGGATTATTGGGGTCACTTTAAAGCATGGATTAGTGGGGTCACTTTAAGGCATGGATTATTGGGGTCACTTTAAGGCATGGATTATTGGGGTCACTTTAAGGCATGGATTATTGGGGTCACTTTAAAGCATGGATTAGTGGGGTCACTTTAAGGCATGGATTAGTGGGGTCACTTTAAGGCATGGATTATTGGGGTCACTTTAAGGCATGGATTATTGGGGATTTTAGGGGTCTTAAAGATTGGGGATGTATTTTTAGGTCAGGAATTTTAGGAGTCCCGGAGAAGGGTTTTAGGAGTCTGGGAGGGAGTTTAGGGAAAGGGAGGGGGAGAGTCGATCAGTTATTGGTTGAGCTTTGGTTCCGGGAAGACTTGTTTCGAAGAACGGAAAGTTGCGAGTGAGGGGAGTCTCTCTCTCTCTCTCTCTCTCTCTCTCTCTCTCTCTCTCTCTCTCTCTCTCTCTCTCTCTCTCTCTCTCAAAATGGCTGTCACACGTCACAGTTAACGATTATGACGTAACAAACAGTTCTTTGACGTAACATATGTATGTGTGTGAACATATTTCAACATGTGTACAGGTGTGTAGTGTTGACAGTATTAGTAACAGCTGTTTTTGTTTACAGGTGTTGAAGATGTTGGCGTGTCCTGGGTGCCACATCGGGCTGGCCCCTCTGGTGCCCCCCATGGCCCCCTGCACGCCCTCCCCTCACTGGGTTGCCGCAACGCACGTCACTCCAGGGGCAGTACAGCCGCCTTACGTGTGTGGCAGAATGTTCCAGGTCGGGGCGCTCGGCGGGGTACGACCCTGTCTGCCAATGCCTCATGACGCCTGCCACGTCCTCTGCTGCCTCGCCTGCCCCCACGCCTATCCCCACGCCTGCCCCACCTTGCGACCCTGCCAGAGTAAGCTTCTCTGTGCGGCGGCGGAAGCGAGAAGTTCCCTGCACACCTCTGGCGGGGGTCTGGTTGACGGGGAGGCCGAGACGGGGCGAAGCATCACCCCAGACAGTAAAGCCAGCTCCCAGGTCTCCTGTCTCAACCCCTTCCTCCTCCCCGCCGCCACACCCGCAGCCACCCGCCAACCTGCCGCTCCTCATCCCGCCGCCCCTCATCCCACCGCCGCTCACCCCCCGCCGCCCGCCACCCAGCCCGACAGTGTGTGTGACAGTCGAGTGCTGACGGCAACGAAGCTGGCGCTGGAGGAGAGCGGGTGGTACTACGGTGCTATATCATGGCAGCAGGCGGCGGCCATGTTGCAAGACACCTCCGTTGGCACCTTCCTACTGAGGGACTCGGCCAGCCCTCAGTGCCTCTATTCCCTCAGTGTACAGACGACCAACGGCCCCACCAGCGTCAGGATTCACTACTCCTGCGGCAAGTTCCGGCTAGACTGTACCAGCCACAACCAGAAGAAGAACATGCCGGAGTTTGATGGCGTTGTTCCCCTGGTGCAGCACTACGTCAGCGTCACCTCCAGCCAGGTGTGGGTCGACCATGAGGGCAACACCTTTAGTCCCATCGATATAAGACGACCCTTCAGACGGACTGTGCCTTCCCTTCAGCACTTCTGCCGCCTGGCCCTCAACACCACCAGCGCGAGTGTCACGGACGTCCCTCTGCCACCAGCACTCAGGAGCTTCCTCAAGAGTTACCCCCACACGTGCTGACCCTTCCCCGCCCTTCACGGACACGCACAACTGTGATCAAGGACGGTGAAGGTGTGGCCACGTGATGGGGTAACTTGGGACCAATACTGAAGCGGCGGTCCAGACCAGCCTTCTCCCCCCCCCCCCTCATCAACACTCCTGGACGTCCTGTGAAGGACTTGTGGCCTGACCTGGGTAGTCAAGCTCTCAAGATGGCTAAATCGTCCTCGAGGTGACCAAATCGTCCGATAATTATCCCCCATCGTCTTCAGGGCGACAAGAAGGCGTCCTCAAAATGGCTTCATCGTCCTCGGAACTGATCTCTCATTAGTCTTCGCAGTGACCACGTCGTCCTCGAACTGTGCCCCCACCTCCAAAGAAAGAAAATACATTAAGCACAAAATAAACTCTTCTACAGCTCCTTCATCTCAAGGTGCCAAAATAAACTGACCCTCGTGAGTCTGTGATCATTTCTATATAGATACAACAAGGTAGCAGCTATCTGACGGACCAGTGACCCCTACCCTTACCCTCACCCCAACCCTCTCCCTCATCCCTACCCCTATCCTCTCCCTCACCCTTCCTAACTCGTCTCAAATTGACTATTCCCCCCCCCCCCTCTCCAAGAGTTTGTTGTATGTACACAGTTGTTTTCGCGCCAAAACACAAAGAACCAGATTCTCAGCTCTTTGTTCGATGTTTCTGTGTTTGTTTATGACATGTTTTTGTTTACTCCAAGACAAACAGATTCTCAGAGCTCTTTGTTTTTATACTTGTGTGTTTGTTTAGTTAGTTGTTTACAGCTCTTGTTACACTCGGAAAATAAACAGATTCTCAAAGAGATCTCGTTGGGTGGTATAAGAGTGACGATCAAGAGAAGTTCTCCACACCAGATCTACAACCCGGATTTATCATCAAGCTGCCCAGTGTTGTAGATCAAGACCCCTACCAAGACCTGCCTGACGTTACCACCGCCTTCTGGAGGTCTTGAACAGCTCTCAAATTTGTTATTTTAAGTAGAAATAAACGTCAACAACAACATACTCGATCCCAAGTCATTTATATGTCTCATTGGTGAACTAAAGACACACAGATTGGGTCCTTAAGTCACTGTCCATCATCACTGAGGTCTTTAAGTCACACTGTCCCTCATAACTCGGGTCCTTAAGTCACTGTCGCTCATAACTCGGGTCCTGTAAGTGTCACACTGTCCCTCATAACTAAGAGACTCGCGACATCTTGTTACAGCAGTAGAGTATCAAGATATATCTGTGTACCATCTTTGTGACGTCACTGATGAGGGACAGTTGAATGAGACTGTAATTACGAAACAAAAGGTGTGGTTACAGTTTTGGGGAATTTGGGCACTTACCAGGTGTTGTCAGGTCATGTTGAAGAAGCTACAGTGTCTTAGGTCAAAGGTTAACTGAGAGCATCTGTATCATTAAGCTCTACGGCAAAAGTTTACACTGGGTATTAGCTTTTATGCTTAATAATTATACATAGCAGCGTATTTATTTTATTGTTTATTTATTTGTATATTCTCTCTTCCCTCAAAACAAACCACGGATAGTGATTTGACTCTTGTATTAGAGGTTCTTGAATGTAAATAAGTACTAAGAAGGTTTACTAATACCACAAGTACTGTAGGTTCAGTATAATATCAGTATTTTAGTTATGCAGCAGAGCAACAGATGGCGTTGGGGGGTGTATCACAAGAGCTTCCAGTTTCTCTTTATTAGTCGACAACAACATTCACATCCCCGCATTACTTCCTCATGTCATCAGGCTTAGCGTAGACTTCACACCTCCCTACTTCTCGACTATTATTGTTCCATAGGATTAAATGATTTCAGGCAAGAAAGACGAATTTATACACGTCAGTCATTTTATGAGCTGTGATCCATGATGTGTTGTGGTGGCAAACGTGGGCGGTGGCGCTGCTACTTGGTATAGATGCTGTAGGTCGCTCGCCATTGGTCGTTCGCCATAGGTTGCTTCCCATTGGTTATATACTAAGTTACCCGGACCGTACTTATAAAAGCCAAACGTATATGCAAGTCACTCTTAAAGGTATCAGACAGACACACATACCGGTAACTAAAGAATAATGTTTTTACTCAATTCCATAAGTGTGTAATGGTCGACGGAGTGTGACTAGTATTTAAGTGTGACGATATAAGTGAAGCTGGTAGTTGACTTAGATGTGAACAGATGGTCAGCCCTGCCCAGTGTTTGCCTACCATATAGACATCCTTTAGTTTATAAGCGCGCGCGTGTCTGTTTGTCAGTCAGTCAGTCTGGATGTAACAAAATACCATCACAAATTTTTTTAAGAAGAAATTATAATTATTTTTCTCAGATATATTTGTGTGTGGGACAGGAATTAAAACAAAACAAAAATAAACCAAAACCAAATAAAATTATGAAAAGAATTCCAGTTGGCTGTGTATGTAATATTGGAACTGTGGGGGGTTATTTTTTTTAGTATTATTAACATGTCTGAAAAAAGGGGTTAATTATATTCATATTATTCATAAAGGAACCATCAGTGTTATTTGTTATTTTATTTCAATATGTAAATTGTGATTGATGAAAGTTGTTTTTTTCTCAACCTGTATCGTATACCTCAAGTGGGTGTGTGGCGGCGTGTGCTGAGACCTTTATTATTCTTGTGTAAGTTACCACACGTCCAATGTGAATAAATATATTTTGACGTATATCTCTTGTTTCTATTATTACACCTTTATGAACACTAACCTTATCTAACCTAACCTTATCTAACCTAACCTAACCTTATCGAACCTAACCTAACCTGACCTTATCGAACCTAACCTAACCTAACCTGACCTTCATTTATATCTTATTTGCCATTCACTCTCAAGGTGTATTGTTTACGATTTTGCATTGGGTACACACACACACACACACACATACACACACACACACACATACACACACCACCAATTAAAGGAGGAAGGTTCCGTCAGAATCACCAAGTACCCGTAGGATGATGATAGTAATGATGATGGTGGTGTTGATGACGATGGTAATGATGATGATGATGGTGTTGATATTGATGGTGATAGTGATAATGATGGTAATGGTGTTGATGATGGTGATGATAATGGTAACGGTAATGATGATGATGATGATAATGGTAACGGTAATGATGCTGATGGTAATGATGATGGTGATGAAGATGGTAATGGTGTTGATGATGGTGATGATAATGGTAACGGTAATGATGATGATGATGATAATGGTAACGGTAATGATGCTGATGATACTGATGATGGTAATGATAGCGATGGTAATGGTTGTGATGGTGATGATGCTGGTAATGATGATGGTAATGGTGGTGATGGTAATGATGATGGTGGTAATGATGATGGTAATGGTGGTGATGGTAATGATGATGGTGGTAATGATGATGGTAATGGTGGTGATGGTAATGAAGATGATACTGATGATGGTAATGATAGCGATGGTAATGGTTGTGATGGTGATGATGCTGGTAATGATGATGGTAATGGTGGTGATGGTAATGATGATGATGGTAATGGTAATGATGGTAATAGTGATGATGATGGTAATGATGATAGTAATGGGTGATGATGATAGGCCCTGCTCTCATAGGCTTGCACCATTTTCTAGGAACATCACCAGAAATACCAAACACTGCCCCATCCCTCACTTGGGGTCACATCTCCATAATGACTCATTTACTCCGGAAACAAAGGTCAGGTTCTCTTGAAACAACAAACAATACACAAGGAAAACTTATTTTGGTTAGTAGTTTACGTGGTCGACAAGAAAACGAATTGATACCCTTATTTAATTAAATAATGTCTATATTTTTTATTTTTTTATTTTTATATTTATTTTCATTTTTTTATAATGAAAACTTTAGTGTTATTGTTGGTACAGACGGCGGCTGTGTACGTGGTGGCGCCGATACTACACAGCTGTACCCTCTCACCCACCACGGGCGTGGCGTACCGTACGGTGTTTGAGGTGCAAAGTGACGGGTCGAGGGACGGCCAACTGACCTACACCTTGTACTACGCCAGCTCACCCGACAAAGATGCTCTCCTCCTGCCGGCCTACCGCGGCTCCTCCCCCAACGCCGCCGGGATAGTTCTGCCCTCTGGTGAACAATGGTTGACGGTCACGGTGGAGAACAGCGACCACACAACCACCAGCGTCCCCGTCGCCCAAGTTAACCTCACGTCTAACCTGCTATCTGTGAGTGAGCTCCAACAGGCCATACAAAACATAAAAGATCTGGTCAAGCCGCGCATGGAGTACTACAATGCCCTCATCAAGGCCCACTTGGTGCTCCGTGCCCAGAACACAACAGGTCAACCATCATGTGAAGAGTCAGCTCCTGGATCTTGTGGGTCGACCCGTACCCACCAAGGGCGAGTTGGACTGCATAGAAACTATGTTGGTGGAGGACAGCGACCGGACCGTGCAAGACCTTTTATTTTTATTTTTTTTACGGGGATTAGTCCACCCGAGCACAGGTCATTGACCCACATCAGGGCCTGGGGGGCGAAAATATAATAATAATAATAATAATAATATTTAATAATAAACAAAAATTAACCAAAAAATATAAATAATAATAATAATAATCATAAATAAATACACAAACGAAAAAGAAACAATATACTGCATTTTGTGTTGTCAGTAGTAAGAGAAACAGTTGAAACCATGCAATTGTGTGTAAATGAGGCAGAAAATCAGATCAGAAACCTGGGACTTGGTCACAATTTTCGTGATGACATATGGCAGCAGGGTTTACCATTAGACAATACATTATGTTTCCAATATCTACCCAGGCGTTAGTACCTCCCTGTTTGGTAGCTGCCTACTACCTTGGTTTCCAAGCGACTGGTGCTGCTCGTTAACAGTTACCGCACCATCGCCAACTATGTTGTGCTCTTGCCTGAGCTTGAGCAGATTGTAGTAAAGTTCTTGCAGATTTATGGACGACTACTGTCCCAGCATCACCTCGGCCCCTTCCGTGTTGAGTACGACCCGATGAGAAAACACATCCTAAATCGCCTCCAGTATAGTCTGTGGGTGATGGTGTACCTACAGTCGTTGATGCGTCCTGCTGGGGAGGTGACGACAATTACCACCCCTCACGTGACGCTCTCTACGTGGAAAGCGTTGCCGGGGATGAGCGTGTCGCCTACACTGAACTTGAGCGGAATATTGGTGGAACTTCCCCAGGCGATGGTCAACGCCACAGAGACCCGCCTCATCAGTGCTGTCCACTCATCCCACATCTTTATAGGGCCTCCTAGTCCAAGCCATCAAGCTGGGGAATATTCTTTGGGATTTTTAGATTTCACTGTG